TTTGTCTGTCTGATTCTGTCTGAATTTCTTTGTTTGTCTGAGTCTGTCTGAATTTCTTTGTTTGTCTGAGTCTGTCTGAATTTCTTTGTCTGTCTGATTCTGTCTGAATTTCTTTGTCTGTCTGATTCTGTCTGAATTTCTTGTTTGTCTGTCAGATTCTGTCTGAATTTCTTTGTCTGTCTGATTCTGTCTGAATTTCTTTGTTTGTCTGAGTCTGTCTGAATTTCTTTGTCTGTCTGATTCTGTCTGAATTTCTTTGTTTGTCTGAGTCTGTCTGAATTTCTTTGTCTGTCTGATTCTGTCTGAATTTCTTTGTTTGTCTGAGTCTGTCTGAATTTCTTTGTCTGTCTGATTCAGTCTGAATTTCTTTGTCTGTCTGATTTTCTTTGTTTATCTGAATCTGTTCGTACGTGTCTCTCTGTTTGTTCCTGCGTCTGTCTGTCTGTCTGTCTCTCTCTCTCTCTCTCTCTCTTCCTCTCTTTCACATGCCCTTTCAATTCTCCAGACCGATAATTCAGCCTCTAAAGCGTATTATTCATAGATATCTTAAACTAGGGGAAAAGATAATTTTCCTGGTAGAGGGCAGTGGGAAAAGGTGGGAATCTTTAAAATCATATTTGAAATTCTTAAACCAGCGTTTTGCAGAATATCGCGAAGAACATTTAAAGTATGGTTTTCAATGTCCAGTTACTACTACACCTAATAGTTTCTTTTTTAAGATAATTTAGCTAAAGATTTGAAAAGTGGAACTACGGACGTGGACGCTGTGTTAGAACTGCTCAGAAAACACTGGTCTAATTGGCGGTTTTTGTCGTTTCCTTTTCTGCATGAAGTCCTTTGATAACATTTTCTTATTATATTGTTTTCGATATTTCTATTTAAGAACATTAGGAAATTGATTTTTTTTCAAATAATAGCTAATTATATTTGATATATGAAATTTCCAGTTAATGGTTGGCAAAATACTTAAACTGCATACCAAGCAAACTACTAAAAAAAATCAACCAGGTTAATTGCTGATTAATAATTTATTAAGACTTGGAATAATGGTCAGATTTACGAGAAACAGCTTTTTTTTTTTAGAAAGTGGAAACACTGACCACTGCTTTCTTTAACAGATTTTGATCGAAAATGTTCACCTTCAAGTATATTTCTTATCTCGAGTTCGATTAGATTACCTTTTTTGAAACATCATGACTCCAAGACATCTCTCTGGTGCACAGAAGAGGAAAAGAGGAGAGCGACACATAGAAATGTCAACGAAATTGCATAAGCTCAGTCCGTCATTATAGCGATATCAAGCCTAGGGATAACACGTGATCGGAGTGATAGTGATGATAGAAAAAGCAACGTATACATCTGGGAACTGCAGAGGTAACGTAACATTCATAATAATAATATAAAAAAAGGCATAATGATAGTTATGATAGATCTAAATTTATTTGTTTTTGTTTGGAAAAAAAAGACAACTCAATCCTCTGCAAGGAGAGGAGAGCGACACATAGAAATGTCAACGAAATTGCCTAAGCTCATCCGTCATTATAGCGATATCAAGCCTGAGATAACACGTGATCGGAGTGATAGTGATGATAGAAAGCAACGTATACATCTGGGAACTGCAGAGGTAACGTAACATTCATAATAATAATAATAAAAAAGGCATAATGATAGTTATGATAGATCTAAATGTTATTTGTTTTTGTTTGGAAAAAAAAACAACTAAATCCTCTGCAAAGGAAAACTATCGCGTGTTTCATTTTGATTTTTGCACGTTGCTTAGAAAGGATTTTGGGATTTTTTTTTTTTTTTAGAAAGTGGAAACACTGACCACTGCTTTCTTTAACAGATTTTGATCGAAAATGTTCACCTTCAAGTATATTTCTTATCTCGAGTTCGATTAGATTACCTTTTTTGAAACATCATGACTCCAAGACATCTCTCTGGTGCACAGAAGAGGAAAAGAGGAGAGCGACACATAGAAATGTCAACGAAATTGCCTAAGCTCGTCCGTCATTATAGCGATATCAAGCCAGGGATAACACGTGATCGGAGTGATAGTGATGATAAAAAACAACGTATACATCTGGGAACTGCAGAGGTAACGTAACATTCATAATAATAATAATAAAAAAAGGCATAATGATAGTTATGATAGATCTAAATATTATTTGTTTTTGTTTGGAAAAAAAACAACTAAATCCTCTGCAAAGGAAAACTATCGCGTGTTTCATTTTGATTTTTGCACGTTGCTTAGAAAGGATTTTGGGATTTTTTTTTCTCTTCCCTTAACTCGGGCGCGCTAGATTAAAACTCGTGACCTGCATTAGATCAGCTGCATTCGCTTGTTTTTGCATGGGCTCATTGTGTGTGTATTTTGTAAATATATATATACATATATATTTTCCCCTTTCTTCTCACTCCTACTGTTCATACTACTCTTAACACTTTAATATCTGATATTCTGCGTCTTAACCTAAAGCTAGCATTGGGCATGGATACATGGTACATTGGACTTTTTTTCTTTTCAATATGTATTTTCTATGCTTTCCTGCAAATGGTCTGTATGACAGTGTCTACCAAAATGAAACCTCACTGATATGTATCTAAAATTAACCCTGTCGATGATCATATAAGCATTTCATAAGTTCTACACATACTATCCATGTTGATAAAAAAATATGTAATCGAGTTTATCAGGAAGGTGAGGATTGGCTGAAATTTTAATTACGCGAATTTCGAATATACTGTTGTCGGACTGTTCTAAATAAATCTGTTTTGTTTATTGTAATTTTATTCCCCCATTTACAGATTTTTAGCCATTCACTGCCTTATGTTTTCCTCTTCTAATAAACTTTTTTTTTGGCCTTTTCTCCTATCACACCAACAAGCTCAAATGTTTTTTTCTTTTCGTTCATGAACAATTTCTGCTTATTTCCCCAGCCAGTAAAAATGCCAGACTTCACACTGATCTACTTCAACGCCCGCGGGTCCGCCGAGCCCATCAGGTGGATGTTCACCTACGCCGACATCCCCTTCAATGACGAGCGAATCGAGAAGGAGGACTGGTCGGACCGCAAGAGCTGTAAGGGACCGTGATGATAATTTTATTTTTTTGAGGGCGGGGAGTAATATTGTATAGGGATAGTGGTGATAAATGGATGGGCGGATGATAATAAATGGTTTATGAGGATAAGTTGGCTAGGTTTGTGATGATAAGTTGCCTGGATTTATGGTGATAAATTGTCTAGGTTTATGGTGATATGTTGGTTGGGTTTATGATATCAGTGATGACGGTGGTAGTTAATACATTGATGATAATAGAAATGATATCAACGAATTAAAACATTTTTTCCCCTAAATCGGAATTTTCAACTGTATAAGCAAGAATCAAATATATTACGGCCAAATGTTGTATAACCTATTAAAAACAGATAGATACATGAAATCAAAACTTTTTAACCCTTAGTACTTGAAAGACCCAAACACAAACTAACTTCCATCACTAAAAAAAATACCCCCAAAAAATTCCATCGCCAACCAACAACAACAGAGAACCTTCATCACCAACAATAAATATATATATTTCTTTTTTCTTCTTCTTTTCTTTCTTTTTTTAACGAACCTGACCTCTTTCTCTCCCCCCCCTCTCTCTCTCTGTCTGTCTGTCTCTCTCTCTCTCTGTCTCTCTCTCTCTCTCTCTCTCTCTGTCTGTCTGTCTGTCTGTCTGTCTCTCTCTCTCTTTCTCTCTGTGTCACCGCAGCGATCCCCGGCGGAAAGTTGCCTGTGCTGATGGTGGACGAGAAGCCTCTGCCGCAGTCGCAGGCCATCGCCCGCTTCATCGCCAAGGAAGCAGGACTTATGCCCGAGGACAACCTTGATGCTGCCTACTGTGACGCCCTGGTTGATACTGTCCGGGACGTGATGGAGAAAGTGTATAGCAAGTAAGTGTGTATTGGTTTGGTGTTTTTCGGCGGTTGCATTAGGGCTGTGCTTCATTTTCTTGTTTTATTCTTTCGTGCCTTTTGTTTTTTTTTCTTTCCTTTTCTTTTTATCTTTCTTTTTTTCTGTTTCCTTCTTCAACTATCTTTTTTCTTTCTTTCCTTTTCTTTACCTACTAATTTTTTTCTTTTTTTTAAATTTCCTCCTTCAATTCTCTTTTTCCTTTTTTCTTTCCTTGCTTTTTGAAAATTTATTCCTTTTTTTCTATTGTATTTCCTTCTTCAGCTTTCTCTTTTTTTTTATCTTTTTCCTTTTCTTCTTCCTTTTTGTCTTTTCTTCATCCTTTTCTATTTTTCTTCCTCCCTTTTTTATTTTCTTTTTTCTCTTTTGTAACTCCTTCTTCAACTTTCTTTTTTTTTCTCGTCTACTTCTGTCTGTTTACGTCCATTATTGTGTTTGTATTCATGATGAGACTATCCAGGAGACTGATTAGCTTTCTGTCTGATCGATGGCGTGTTTGGAGTCACCTTGTAGACTTTACTGGAATGTTTACATAATTGTTTGCTTACCTAATGAATATAGCCTTGGTACTCTCTCTCTCTCTCTCTCTGTCGCTGTCTCTGTCTCTCTTTCTCTCTCACTCTCTCTCTCTCTCTTTCTTTCTCTCTCCTCTCTCTCTCTTTCTTTCTCTCTCCTCCCTCTCTCTCTCTCCCTCTCTTTCTTTCTCTCTCTCTCTCTTTCTTTCTCTCTCCTCTCTCTCTCTTTCCCTCTTTCTCTCTCTCTCTCTCTCTCTCTCTCTCTCTCTCTCTCTCTCTCTCTCCCTCTCTCTCTCTCTCTCTTTCTTTCTCTCTCCTCCCTCTCTCGCTGTCCCTTTCTTTCTCTCTCCTCTCTCTCTCTCTCTCTCTCTCTCTCTCTCTCTCTCTCTCTCTCTCTCTCTCTCTCTCTCTCTCTCTCTCTCTGTCTCTCTCTGTCTCTCTCTCTCTCTCTCTCTCTCTCTCTCTCTCTCTCTTCCCTCTCTCTCTCTCTCTCTCTCTCTCTCTCTCTCTCTCTCTCTCTCTCTCTCTCTCTCTCTCCCTCTCTCTCTCTCTCTCTTTCTTTCTCTCTCCTCCCTCTCTCGCTGTCCCTTTCTTTCTCTCTCCTCTCTCTCTCTCTCTCTCTCTCTCTCTCTCTCTCTCTCTCTCTCTCTCTCTCTCTCTCTCTCTCTGTCTCTCTCTGTCTCTCTCTGTCTCTCTCTCTCTCTCTCTCTCTCTCTCTCTGTCTCTCTCTCTCTCTCTTTCTCGCGCGCGCGCGCGCGATTGCGATACCCATTTATTTATGTATAGTGAGAATAAAGCACGATAAAGAAAATTTACATGCGTTCCTAATCCAAGAAGATATACCTACATACTTTACAAAACAACTAACACAAAATACAACCCCTCTCAAAAAAAAGATGAAAAATAAAAGGAAAATAGGTAAATATATATATATATGTGTGTGTGTGTGTGTGTGTGTGTGTGTGTGTGTGCGCGCGTGTGTGTATGTGTGTGTGTGCGTGTGTGTGTGTGTGTGTGCGTGTGTGTGTGTGTGTGTGTGTGTGCGCGCGCGTGTGTGTATGTGTGTGTGTGCGTGTGTGTGTGTGTGTGTGCGTGTGTGTGTGTGTGTGTGTGTGTGTGTGTGTGTGTGTGTGCGTGTGTGTGCGTGTGTGTGTGTGTGTGTGTGTGCGTGTTTGTGTGCGTGTGCGGGTGTGTGTGTGCGTGTGTGTGTGTGTATGTATATAAATCTATACAGTATCTATACAGCCTTAACCAATTTTCGTACATTGCAACACGACGTTCTATGCATCTCTTCCTCAGCCCCGAATTTTCCCCACAGGATAATGAGCGAGGAGGATGAGGACGAGAGGAAGAGGTGGTTCATGGAGGATTTTTTCCCCTACCACATGGCACCTGTGCTGGCCCGCCTCAACGCCCGTCTGAGCGGCAGGGAGTGGTTTGTCGGAGATCAGGTCAGTGGAGCGGTCGTTGGAGGTCGTTTGGTTGGTTTATTATAGGTCAGTGATTGGTTTATTATGGGTCAGAGGTTGGTTTATTATGGGTCAGTGACTAGGTTAATTAAAGGTCGGTTACTGGTTACATTACAGGAAAACAGGTTATGATTCAAGTCTGGTTCATTGTAAATCAGGTCCTACGCAGTTAAATCTTTGTAACTCATGTAGGTCGGTCAGGTCTGGTACAAAGTATACGGCAAATATTTTTTTATGAGATCAGGTCTAAGACTAGTTTCTAACTAAACAGGCTAATGTCCATTAACAACTAGTCTGCATTTATCTTATAACAATACATGTGGGGCCCCGGGGTTGGAAAGATTGAAGCACAAGGTCAAAATGAGTCAATTACTGTTCATCATAAATTGAAATCTCAGGGAAATCGTCAATTCGAGTCGCATTTTTCTTTCAAGTTGTGATTGATCTTGGTTGGTGCGCAGTCACCTAAGATCGTATACAAGGAAGCATGAATATTATATGTCTCCCTAGAATGTGTAGTGTCAGCAACTCTTAAAGATTTTGTAACGTCTTTCAATAATAATAGCATATAATCTTAACAAAACACGAAACTGGTAACGATAGCTCAAAATATGAGGCAGTTAAACTCAAGTACAGTTACAGTACAAAATAAATGCCCATGCTGAAGTTTATAAGTTGACAAGTGCCCATGTATTTGTATATGTATTTTACATCCATCTGATGTATGCACGCCATCTTCCGCAGGTCACTTGGGCCGACTTTATGATCGCGCACGCCTTCGGAGAGATTCACTGCCACCACCCTGAGGCTTTCGAGGAGTACTCTGCCGTGACGGAACATATCGAAAAAGTCCGAGAACTCCCGGCCATAAAGGACTGGATTGAGAACCGACCTGAAACAACTCACTAACTGCCCGGGAGGTAATCGAGAAATTTTATTCGGGAGACAGTCGAGGAATTTTACCCGTCTTTGGCAACCTTTCGTTCCAGTCCTGCCCTTTGGGTTAATCTCTGTACCAGGACAGAAGGGCGGAAAGTAAGGAAGATACGCTTGCACTTCGAATGCCCAATACTGAGATCCTCGACCGTAACGCACCTGTACTGGCACGCCGCTTTCCCTGTTTCTACAATGTGGTCTCATTTCCTTGAATTCAATCGCCTGACCTCACCGGATGTCGAAGATGCCGAACACTATGCCTCATTTTTTTAGCATTTTTTAAAGCAGTTCCACAGACAGAGCAAGAAAAAGAAAGCTTTCTCAAGCAATCCCACTTTGCTAATACAACTTGAAATAACGGCTGACCTTTTCAAGACTAAGTATGTCTTTGCTACCAATGGAATTATAATATTCTTATGCTGAATAGACTGAGCCGTTTAGTGAGCAGAAACAACTCTGCAGTGTAAATTACCCCAGAGTATAATTCTTGAAATGTCACTGAGATCATTAAATACATTCATAAGAGCGTAAAACTAACTTTTCTTTGCAGAAAAATTAACACTTCAGATATCTGATTTGGTCGATTTAATGGCTGCACAAAATAAATGTAAACAATTCGG